GTTCTGAGTCTAGTTCTGGTTCTGGTTCTGAGTCTGGTTCTAGTTCTGGTTCTGGTTCTGAGTCTAGTTCTGGTTCTGAGTCTGAGTCTGAGTCTGAGTTCTAGTTCTAGTTCTAGTTCTGGCTCTGGCTCTGGTTCTGGTTCTGGTTCTGGTTCTGAGTCTGGTTCTAATTCTAGTTCTAGTTCTAGTTCTGGCTCTGGCTCTGGCTCTGGTTCTGGTTCTGGTTCTGGTTCTGGTTCTGGTTCTTAGTCTGAGTCTGAGTCTGAGTCTGAGTCTGAGTCTGAGTCTGAGTCTGGTTCTGGTTCTGGTTCTGATTCTGGTTCTGGTTCTGTGTCTGGTTCTAGTTCTGGCTCTGGTTCTGGTTCTAGTTCTAGTTCTAGTTCTAGTTCTAGTTCTAGTTCTAGCTCTGGTTCTGGTTCTGGTTCTGGTTCTGGTTCTGAGTCTGAGTCTGAGTCTGGTTCTGGTTCTGACCTGTGTTTGGTTCCCCTGCAGATCTTCCGCTGGAGTGGAGAAAACTCCTACTTTGTGAGAGGATTCCTGGACTCTCTGCAGATGGGAGGAGGAGGGTGAGTCCTTCATCATCACACAACATTAAACCGATAACAGAGCTTTATCACAGTCCGGCTGCACCATTTTTAATGTTTCTGAAACAAGTCCCTTTTGCTCATCAAGGCTGCATTTATTTGATCAAAAATACAGTAAAATAGTAAAATATTGTTACAGTTTAAAATAACTGTGAATATCTGTTGAACTGTAATGTATTTCTGTGATGCGCAGCTGTATTTTCAGCATCATTCCTCCAGTCTTCAGCGTCACATGATCTTCAGAAATCAGTATAATATGCTGATTTGCTGCTCAAGAAACATTTCTGATTATTATCAGTGTTGAAAACAATATTTTTGTGGAAACTGTGACACAATTGATTTTTCAGGATTCACAGATGAATAGAAAGTTCAAAAGAACAACATTTGAAATAGAAATCTTTTGCAACATTGTTAATGTCTGTACTGGCACTTTTGCTCAATTTAATGCATCCTTGATAAATGAAAGTATTTTTTAAAATCATAATTATCCCAAACGTTTAAAACGGTAGTGAAGCGCCATTGATACGGACTAAAGAGGAAGTAGTTTTACGCTACTGTTTGTAGCTTCTGCTTTCTGAATGTGGAAGTGTGATCAATCTCTGATGAGCAACGAATCATTCGGTCATCGTTTACTCTCACACAACATTGCATCATATCTGAGCTTCTGCTTTACAGAAAACTAAAATAGATGAGGATTTTAATACAGAGCTCAAAAACAGATCCAAATGAAGGCTCATAACTATGGAAGCCTGTTTCCAATATAAAGGTAATTGTGACTTTATCTCACAATTCTGATCGTTTTTTCTCGCAATTCTGAGATTATATCTCACAATTATATATATATATATATTTTTTCAGAATTGTGAAATAAACTCAGGATTGTGAGATACAAAAAAAGTCAGAATTCTGGGATAAATAGTTTGCAATTACTTTATTTTTTATTCCGTGGCAGAAGAAAACTAAATTGTGAGATGTAAAATTTAAAAAAGTCATAATTCTGAATTCATATCTCGCAATTCTGACTTTATTTCTCAGAATT